GGCATCTCCAAAAAGCTGGGGTCTCCACTGAAACTGAGGCTACACCTTCAGCAATGGCATCTTCCTGCCTCTTGGGGTGCAACATCTCAGATTCTCCCCATGACCCCTTCAATCCTGGGATCTTCACTGCACTGAAGCTGCACTTTCACCTATGGCCTTTCCTGGCCTCTCAGAGTGCCAAGCCTCAGCTGATCTCTGTGACCCCTTCACGTTTTCAACACCAGAACCATGCAGGAAACTCTTACACATTACCAAGTCCTGCTTCCAGCTTGAGATAGAGGTGCAGGTCCCCTCTGTGTGCTGACCCTGAGGAAATACCTCCCAGAAGACTTCACCACAGTGATGCTGGTCTCTTGTTACTTACAGCTGATTTTTCAGCCCCAGCTAACCAACATCAACTGTCCCAGTAAAGCAAAGGTTTTACTTCAGGTTCTGGTCTCTTCTTAATCACAGCTGATTCTTCAACCCCAGCTGACCAGAACCCACAGATTCTTAATTCAAAATCTTACATGAATAGCCCTGATAGTCTCTGCTTCCCTTTGAAGCTTCATAGGCCAGGCTTCCATCCTGCCATCGTCTACAACTCTTTCGGCATAACTGTTCCAAGCTCCACAGCAACAAACTTTGAGCATACAATGGCTTTTCCAGCCCAAAGTTCCAAACACTTCCACAGTCCTCCCCAAAACACCAAGGTCAGGTCTGTCACAGCAATTCCCCACTCTCGGTACCAATTTCTGTCCTAGTTTGTTTCTTCATTGCTGTGACAAAACACTGACCACTACCAACTTGGGGAGGAAAGGGTTTATTCAGCTTACATCTTCCAGGTCGCAGTTCATCAGGGAGCCCAAGGTAGGAACTCAGGGCAGGAACCTGGAAGCAGGAGCTGGAGCACAGGCCATGGAGGAATGCTGCTTATTGGTTTGCTCCCCTGGCCCCTGCTCAGCCTGCTTTCTTATGCAACACAGGTCCACCTGCCCAGGGGTGGCAACACCCACAGTGGGCTGGGCCCTCCCACATCACGCATCAAGAAGACGCCCTTCAGACATGGCCACAGGCCAGTCCAATAGAGGAAATTTCCCAATCGAGGCTCCCTCAACCCAGGTGTGTCAAGTTGACACTAAAGCTGTCCAGCACAGGGTCTGTGCACATGAGTGCCAGTGCTTACGGAAGCCAGAGGCATCTTATCCCCCTGGAGCTAGAATTACAGTGGGTTGTGAGCCACCTTATGTGGGTCCTGGAAATCACATTCCAATCTTCTGCAAGAGTAGTACATGCTCTTGATTGCTGAGCTGGCTCCCCAGCTCTCCTAGATGATGTAGCAACCTCTGCCCTACTGTGTCTAGGGCCACTCTGCTTCCAGGCTTCCTCACTGGAGTTTTGCTTTGTAAGTTATGCTCTCTGGCTCCCCATCCCTCCCCCTTCACCTTAGTCTAGCACCTGTAGAAACTTGAGTAGTGAAGTCTTCTGTTTTATGTCACAGCTTCTCTTTAGTTTCTTTTCACCATCAGTCCCGGGGAATTCTCAGGAACATTCTCCCTGTATCCTGAAGCTGTTGGCACCTCACCCTAGATTAAAGGAACACGTAGAGTCAATGGCTGCTGAAGGCACCAACCATAATCTACCAAAGCTGTCACAGGTAAAATTCAACTCACCCAGCTCACCCATGATGCTTCATTTGGCTGTTTTGTAGGCAAAGAAGAAATGAGCCCTACCTCTCCTACTTTGGTTCCTGAGGGAAAAAGAAAGATGAAGTCAGCAATGGCTTTGCCCTTTGCTTAAAAAACTAGGAAATTCAAACATGGTCCCAAAGTTTTTTTGTTTATTTATTTATTAAATTTGTTTTTAGTCTTGGTCTGATCCAAATAATAGATTTGATACAAGTACAAAGATCACTCCATTTCCCCTGGAACCATATAAGTGCACTGTGCTTATTGGCTTCAGCTTTGGGGACTATTCAAGCTGCTGGCCTGTGAGTATCAGCTGAGATTCTTCTGCAGGGGCAACTCCATTTGAGATCAAATGGAGGGAATTTCATATTCTTTCACTGTATGTGTAAGGCTTCTCAGGCATATTTATCGCAAAATAGATGCGAGGGGCTTGAGAGTGTTGAGTTCAGGGTCTTAGGAGGAAGACAATGATTTGTGATTTTTCTTTGACACTAAGGGAACAGAACATGGAGAGATAGGTTCCAGGTGCTGGCTTTCCTAACAGAGGGTGAGTGGGCAAAAGCTGGGGCTCAGAAATCCACCCTTGAAGCAAAGTTTAACAACTGAATACCTGGGCTCTTTGAGGAGTAGTTTCTCTATTTGAACCTGAAATACCTGTAGGTATTTATATGCCCTGAATGCTCACATCTTCCCAGTTTCTGTCCGTGCTCTGGAGAAGGAACAAAATGCAAGGATGCCTGCTTGTTTTTTAGAAGGCAGAACTTGGAATATCTCCTGAACTTGGAGAGTGCCCAGTGATCATTATTAATGACTGAGACTACTAATACTGAAAAAACCTTGGAGTGGGGACTTCAACTTACAGCTCAGTCTGAAATGAAAGAAAATAGCACCCTTGGCTTTCCCGTGTGAGTAAGCTGGGGAACAGCAAGTGGATTTCCACCCAAAGTCTGCTTTGCAAAACCTTGTATTCCTGTGTGAACAATGCCATGGACTCATGGAAATTCAAGGCTGTAGTGTTGCGTTATGTAATAGTTGAAAACACCTGAAGATCAAGAATAGAGGCAGAAACCTCATATCCTTTTTGGCCAACTTCATTGTTTCCTCCCAACTGCATGCTCCCCTTTTTCTTGTGTCCACCAGAATTTTTGGTAGGGGTTGGAGGAGAAACAACAAGGTGAACATTTTGCTGTCAACTATGGATTTAGTTTACAGAAAGGTTCTCTGGAGAACTCTCCATAAACATATTCGGAGATATCCCTAGGTTCATTTTCAAATATCCTTCTGCTGGATAAAATCCTTGAAGAGGCTAGAGAAGTACTATTTTGCCAAATGAGTTTTGTCTTCTTTTTAGACTTTTCATTTAATAACTAGTAAAAGGAATAGATTGTCTGTTGTTTGTTTGATTAATATAGCCTATAGCTCTGAAGTGTGAGTTGATTCAGCAGGCCTGTATAGAGCTGGCCTAATGCCTTAACCAAAGGTCTTTTGCTGATGGCTATGAATGACAGTGAGGGTGAGAGAAGTATCAAATAACAGGATGTCTCCACACTGCATGCCTTGATTTCTTTACAAACCACTGGGAAATGGTTTGGATAGGAGACAAGCGTGGTGGTGGTACTTCCCTTGCATTTCCCCTTCATCATAGCCCAGGGGAGCTTTTCCTCCCACATGCCATTTGTCCTTGCCTAAAGATGTTCCCTAACTCTACTCAAGCTGGCCATGCCTTTCTCATAGATGCTGTGCAGATTTGAAGTGTGTATTAAGCCTTATAATTGCCCTCCCCCTGATGAGCTATGTGGTCTACTAAGTGATCAGGAGTGAAGAGCAAGATTGTGTTGCTTTCTTTGTCCCATCTCAGTAAGATTGTTGGAGGACAATATTGATCCTAAGTAAATTCTGATATTTGGCTCTTACTTCATCTAGGAAAATCCAGAGCTTCCACATTGTTCTCATCAGGAGGAAGGAGCAGGCGGGGGAGACAGCAGCAGTTTGACGAACTCAGCACAAGTAAAGATGAGTGATCAACAAGACGACGTGAAAGGTCAGGAAGAAGAGAAGAAGGAGGATTCTGCCTCTATCAAGACAGGAAAATGCCAGGAAAAGAAAAGGAAGCATTGCCAAATTGAAACCCAAGACGACGCAGATGTGCTTAATAAAGTCTCCAAAGAAGGTACTAATTATACTCAGGGAGAAAGCAACTTAATGTGGATGACTGGGCTTACTAGCATATGCTAATTACCCTCTATCTGAGGCCTCCTCTGGCTCTGGCCTCCCTGTGGCATTTACCAGCTGCGAAACCCCAGGGTTGCTGTGAGGTTTCCATGAGATCGTACATGACGCCCGTTTATACTGAAAATGCTGTATGATAATTATCATCGACAGTCAAGGCATCAGGTCGAGCACAGTAGCAAGTGATGATAGCTCATGCCTTTGCATGGTGTCACTTCCATTGAGGCCAAACCTCTCCCTGCCTTTATCCCTGTTCAGGAATGTAGGATGGGAGAGGTGTGGTCAGGTCTCACCCAATTGTGCTCTGAGAAGCAGCAGTTACAACTTAATAACTTTCCAAGAGAGATTGGCAGTGCCAAGATTCAACCCCAGCTTTGAAGACCTGGCTCAGTCCACAGAGTTGCTACTGCTGCTGCTACTGATGCTGAGGGAGGTACCTGTTGAATTTGAATGAAGTCCCCCGGATTTCCTGAATTCAAACTTCCTTGTCTGTGGGGGCTGCTGAAAACCAGTAGGAGTCTACTTCAGGGAACCACATTGTCAATACCCCAGGCAGCCACTAAATTAAATTCTGGGGGATTTGGAAAAAATGGGAGGTAATATTTTGTTTTTATCATATTAACCTAAATTTTGGAAATGTGTAAAATACAGAATATAGAGCATAGTCTATACCTACTTGTGAATATAATAATTTTAAGTGTTATATTTTGTAGCTTTTCTTTGAATCAATACATAATATATGTATATGTACACACACAGAAAATTTGAAAAACACCTTTTCTTTGTCTCAGAAGTACTATTCATAAAACTAGTGTTGCTCCAGTCCTAACTTACTGCTTTTTAATCACAGATCTTCCTGGTGATCATGTGGCCAAACCAGATCTCAGTATCCCACTTGTGTCTTTTGATGCATCTGACCTTGAATGTTCACTGTGTATGAGGTATGTGCTGTAGCTGTCACTTATAACGTGATATTTCCTCCTCTCTAGTGTATGGACCTCTTTGCTAGTGATTTACTACTGAGTTGGTTAAAAGTTGGTAAAAGTCTAGCACTGATAAAACGGAAATCCCATTTTTACTTGAGCCAACTGGTGTCCTCAGGTTAAAAACTGTTTTTCTTACATCTTTGACTCCTGACTTGGGAAGACCTGGAAAGTGGCAAGGGAACAGACTTCTCAAAATACAAAAACTGATGGGCTGCGAGTTGAGCATGTCTGTTATTTGGCCCTCATTGGATTTTTTTTTGTTAAATATGGCTATCTTAAAACAGGACATATACTTTCTAGTTGGTCGTGGCCCCATTGATTATATCATCAGCTTGTCTCATGTTCACATTACGTTATTCCTTGGTCCCAACAGGTTTTTAAACTTGTGGACCTGAATCTAAACTACAGGTCAAGAACTCAAGGCTTCAAAGGTTAATGCCAATGCTACAAACCTTTTCTTTGGAAGACAAATAGAAGCCTAACTAACTTGTGCTCCATGCTGTGGAATGAATAGCACTTAGTAGTACATGCTAGATATTTGGTCATGCAAGTTTCTTCCAACTAGTACCACATCATCTCTACTCTCTCAGATCACTGAAGAGCAGATTATTCACATACCCCAGCCCCACCCCCAAAATAAAAAGATGCTGTGATTGTGGTCTGTGTGGCTACCTCAAAAATGTAAATGTTTGTTTCATTGCATAGCTGTGACTTCATGGTTAAGAAAAGGTACTCTAAAGGCAGGGTTTGAACCCTAGCTCTTTGCACTTTACAGACTCCTTGTCCTACAGCAAGTGACAGTTGCTGCCACTATTTTCTCCTCGACAAAATAGAGAATAGTACAATCTGCTCCATGTATTAAGATTAATTAAGAAAAACTATTTAATGCCTAGAATAGGGCCTGGCAAACTATAAGTACTCCACAAATGTTAATTTATTTTTTCTTTCTAATCAGAGTTCTTTATTGTTAAATCCGTGACTTCTGAGGAAGCATTGAAATAGATATATGAATTCACTGAAGTAATATGTAAAATGGTGTGCATGTGTGTGTGTCTATTTCTAAGACAAAAGCATGCAGATTTCATTACTTCTCAAATGTGGCTATTTTCTACAAAAGCATTAAGAAGGAGCTGAGGTATTTGAACAAAGGTGGTTGACTCAAGAGATGTCAAAAGGAATCTTTTGGTTCACCACATAGTGAGATCCAGCTAGCAGAGACTCTTCAGAGGGATATGGATAGCTCAGTGGTAGAGCACTTGCCTCCCAAGCATGAGGCTCTGGATTCAGTACTCAGCACCACAAAATAGTAAGAATAATAATACCAGTAATAATACTGAAAAAATCTGTAGTAGTAAGATTTGTTCAAGAGCTTAGGCAGATCTCATAACAGTTCAGCAGATGGAACAAAGAAGCAGCCAAGACAAGCTTCATACATACTGTCAGGAGTGTGTTTAGGTGGTGTGGACAGGAGTGGGCTAGACTGTAGAAGCAGATTCCTTTCACCACTTCAGCCAGCCCCTCACAACAGAGTAGCAGGTGAATCATGCTAAAGCCAGGGTATGAGATAGAGGAAACCTGTTTTCAAGCAAAGAAATGGGCCCTGAAACCATCACACCACCATTGTGGCTCTAAGCTCATGGTGAGAGGTGTGGGGTAGATTTAATTTAGCTTCCTCAGAAAGTACAGGACTTTGTTCAACTTGACTTTCCTTAACACTCCTGCCAATATCCAGGCAACACAAAATCAAACATACAGACTCATCCTGTTTGTATTTTCTCTGTGCACTAAAACTCCTGAGCTTAAAGTTCTTTCATTCCCCTTCCTCTGCTTTTTTTCCCTTTTATCTTTTTGATCCCTATCATCACAAGGGACTTTGTAGAAGAGTTAGAAATTTAGTCCAAGAAATAAACACTCAAAGGGTAAGAACTCTCCTTCAAATTTTTACCCTTTGAGCTTAAAAGCCATTATGTCCTTTCTCCTGTCCCCCTATTCCATCTTTTCCTATGTACAGGCTGCTAAGTCATAGCTAGACTCATGCAATGATGCCATCCAGAGTTAAGGTGGGTCTTTTGCCTCAATTAACCTAGTCTAGATAACCTCTCATAGGCATGCACAGAGGCTAACCTAATCTAAAGATAATCTCTTACTAGTGTGCTAGAGGCTTGTTTTTTTTTTTTTCTCTCTCAGGTGATTCTAGATCCTGTCAAGATGACAATGGATATTAACTATATTAGGGTTTAAGCGTACAGAGAGTCTCAAGGGGCTGGACAGGTGGTTCATTAGTTAAGAGCACCGGCTGTTCTTGCAGGATCAGGGTTCGAATCCCAGAATCCACATGGTGGCATCCAATTCCAGGGGACTTGATGCCCTCTTCTGTCTTCCGTGGGCACTGCATGGCACAGGTGCACTTGCATACATGCATGCAAAACACATTTAAAAAAAGCAAAAAACACACACAAAAAGAGCATGGATAGTCTCAAGCTCTTGGACAATGAAGTTAAACATTTGTACCACCTGTGCAAGTTTCTATGATGAAATTTAGGCCTATGGTGTTGCACTGGGAGAGACAGGTTAGATCATGATTTATATACTCTGATTCTAAGTTTCACAGTGAAAGAATAGAAAGAGTGAATGGAAGCCAAGTGTGGTGGCACACACTTGTAAACTCAGCACTTGGGAGGTAGATGCAGAAATATAGGAGTGCAAAATCATCCTTGGGTACTTTGCAAGTCCAAGGCCAGTCTGAGTTACATGAAACCCTATTTAAAATAAAATCACATAAATGGAACAGTAATTGGAGAGTATGTTGATGAGATACCTTTCAATCTCCAAGTCTCCTTTGCTGAGTTGGGAGAGCTCTGCTGAAGAAAATTGCCTCTAACTCCAACACCTTAGAACTCTGGCCTGTACTCTTTAGAGGTTGGAATCCTCCTTAAGAATATGAATAATCTAGACATTGGGGTTCACCTCTGGGATGCTGTGAGCAATACCTTTGGGGTAATAAGGATGTTTTGAGATATGAATTGAGAATGTCTGATATTTGAACTGGTTACCTAATGACCCGGTGACATTGCTGACAAGTGAAAGCAGCACCTTTTTTTTTTTTTTTTTAAACAGCAGCAGCTTTTTATATAGCCTAGTTTTAGCTCCTTAAGTCACAAGGTATAGGATTAAGGAGGCAGTTCGTTTTTCATTCTTTCTCTCCCTCTCCCTCCACCCTTCCTTTTCCTTCTTTGCTCTCATTTGATAGCGAAAGAACACAATACAAGGATGTAACTGGTGGGAAAAGATAGCTATTTCCAGATAAGCCAAACATTTTATCTGGGCTGATATCTAACTGAAAGCATTTTTTTTACTATTGTTTACTCCATCACTCTGACAATGTAAAAATACTTTCTTGTGAGAAATGATGGCTCTGCTCTGATTTACAAATTTCTCCCTGCAGTGTTTTCAAAATCTTAATTTAATGGCAAAGGGACAGAAATTCTAGTATATATCTCTATCTTTATAGGTAAGGCTCTTTCTGTGTCCCTCTTTTTAGAGAGTGGAGGAAGGGAGAGAGGGAAAGTGTGTGTGGGCGTCTGTGCATCTACATACAGATGGATGGGTGAGTGGATGGATGATTGGATGGATGGAATGCGTTTAAAATATATGATTACATACAGTCCAGGTGTGTTATAGACTGGAGAAGAAAGAGGGGCTGGGGAGTTGTATTTGACTTCACATCCCAAGATATCTGCCTACTAACTAGCTATGTGATCTTGGGCAAGTTATCTAATCTCTTTGAGTTTTAATTTCCTCTGTAATAAAATGGAGCTAATCATAATGGTACACACACACACACACACACACACACACACACACACACGAAGTTAATTTAAATGAAAAACTGTATTGCACACAGCCAGAATATAGCAACATAAATATATTGCATTTGTTCCTATTTTACTCAGCCTGTGCAGAGTATCAGAGTAGCCCTAGGCAAAGAAGGGAATTGAGTATTTAACTATCTGTGGCTATATGCTTGTTACTTATCATTGAGGGATATTTTAATCATAACACTTGCTAAGAAGTCACTGTGTCTTTGTATGCTTCATTTATCTGCTTAGTAACAAGTATTTATTGCAATTTAACTATCTAGCTCTTTATTAATTTGCAGGGATTACATTCTTAAAAGAACAATAGGTCCAAATGTGAAGTTCTCAGGAAAAACAATATTCTATATTAGTATTAGATACAAATTCATAAATCACCACCATATTCATAATCCAATAATATGTAAACTATTCACATATGCTGAGTGTGGTAACACAGGACTGTAATAGCAGTACTTAAAATTCTGAGGCAGAAGGATTAGGAGTTCCAGGCCAGCTTGAACTACAAAGTGAGAACATGCCTTAAAAACAAACACAAACAAATAAACAAACAAACCAGGGGTACAGAGATGGCTCAGTTGTTAAAGAGCACTGACTGCTCTTGTAGAGGACCCAGTTTCGATTCTTGGCACCCACATGGTGGCAATCAGCAATCTATAACTCCAGTTCCAGGGAATCCAATGCCCTCTTCTGACCTCTGCAGGCATTTTATGACATGGTTGCACTTACATACATTCAGGCAACACACTCATATACATAAAATAAAAATAATAAATAAAATATAAAAATTAAAACAAACAAACAAAAAACAACCCAGGACTAGGATTAGGGTGTGGTAGTACATACTTCTAATCAGAGCACTTCAGAAACTGAGGCAAGAGGGTTCCCAGGAGTTTGAGGGCAGCCTGGCCTACATAGCAAGAACTTGTCTTCACAAATAAACAACCAAGACTTGGAAACATAACTCAGTGGTAGAACACTTTCTTAGCATGTTCAAGGCCTTGGGTTTTATTCTCAGAAACACACACACACACACACACACACACACACACGCATGCACGCACCATAAAGTATTCAGAT